ATACGTTTCTCAACAAGTCTCTTACCTGCATTCGTTGCGCCAATGAGTCATGCACTTTTGCTTTGAACTCCAAAACCCGAGCACTGTCCTCTTCGTTTCTTTTACGAGGCCGTAAGTGATCGGATAGATATTTGAGATGGACACATCAAATTCGGTAGACATTACAGTCGTGGCACATTTTAATGCAGCCAGCACAGGTGCCACGTCCTCCATCAGCTGCCAGTACTCATCTTTGAGCTCAAGAATTCTGGCGTCCGCTAACTTTGTGACAGTGCGGTCAGAGAGTACGGCCGTCACTGCCCACCTTTGTTCCACGAGCCGGGCAAACATGTCACTGACAGAATTCCACCGTGTCTTACAGGACTGAATCAGACGATGCGGTGGGATTTTCATCTGTGCCTGTTTGTCACGAAGTGCTTTGGTAGCTACAGTACTATGATTGAAGTGAGAAACAAGTCTTCCAGCAGATGCGATGACCCTGTTTAAGTATATGTTAAAGCCATCGTTTATGGCGTGTTGTAAAGTGTGAGCGAAGCACGGCACGCAATCCCAGCTTACACGTGTTTGATCGTTTGCTGCCACAATATTTCTTGCGTTGTCGTGAACGCATGATATTATCCTTCCCGCGATGTCCCATGAAGCTACGGCCTCGTTTAACTTTTCTGCAAGTCTTTCAGAGGTGTGTTTATCGGACAAGCTCTCTGTAAGCAGGACCGCACACTTCATTTGCCATTCATGGTCTATGTAATGACATGTAATGGTCATGTAGCTTTCCCTTGTTAGTGCGGTCCAGCAGTCAGTTGTGAGGACAATCTTTTCAACTGAACTCAGCGCCATTTTTAGCTCCTCTTTTCTCTTTTCATAGCGATCTTCTAACTGGCTGTTTATTGTGGCTCTCCATGGTATGTTGTACTCCGGCTGAATGAAGTTGATTAAGTTTCGAAATCCCCCACCTTCGACGACGCTTATGGGCAACAAGTCATTTGAAATCATTTCACAGATTCGTTCTGTAATTGCTTCTGCCTTTTGAGCTCCAAATTTTTTCCCGGCTAAAACTGAAGTAATTGTAGGCTGTGTCGATTGTTCAAATTCAAATTGTTCAAACTCTTGCGTGCTCGCTTCATTTTCCCCATTTCATCTGCTGTACGCGCGTCACGCTTAATCGATAAGGTTTATGGTTTAAAAGGCTTATCGACAATTAATCGATCGTCGATTAATCGTTGACATCCCTACTTAAGAGCCTTAAGCACTGCAGATGAGGGAATGAGTTTAAAGTCGAATCCCTCACTGACGAGAGAAGCAGGTGAATTGTGTTGGAGAGGTGAGGAAAAATGTCTGTGAGACTTCTGCAGGATATGATTGTTCAAATATTTCCACTGCCTTGATGAAATGGTCTTTGAAAGCATTAACAATATCATTCTAGCTTGAGATCTGTGCCTTTAACTATATGCTTAGGGAGAGCAGAGTCACAGGGAGGTATTTTAGGAAGGGATTTTATCGTCTTCCAAAATTTAGATGGATTATTTAGGTTTGAGAACATTGATTTGATGTATAAGTCAGATTTGCACTTTCTTCTAAGGTAAGTACACTTGTTCCTAAGATACCTAAAATTAGTCCTGTCAGATTGGAGGTTTGTGGTCTTTGCTAAGACACATGCTGCATTTCTCTCATGAATCAGAGAAGACAGTTCTTTGGAAAACCAGGGGTTATCACGCCCTTTAATTCTGTAGCAGTTAAGGGGGACATGTTTATCAGTAATCGAGAGAGAGAGTGAGTGAAAGTTGTTCCATGCCACATTTATATCCAGTATAGGACTAATTCTAGATAAATCATAGATGTTTAAATCACTCAAAAAGGTTTGTTCTACAAACCTTTTAAATTTATTTTAAAGACCCCCTATCATAGCATTTGAAATGTTCCTATTTTTGTTTTAGGAGTTTCCAAAAACAGTTTAACGTGCTGCATGCAAGGATCAAAAACAATTCATTTCATAGACTCGACTCTCACTTTTGAAAGACAATAACTTTATATATGGTGCACTTTCAGATATAAATCTTTGCAGGATGTTTTCATTCCCTTAGAGCTATATTCCACACTACATGAGCAGTCCTTTTCAAAAATCCATGATACAGTAGGTTGTAACGGTGGGTTACGTGGTTTTATTAAACTTTTAAATGTTCATATTGGGCGCCAGACAGTTTAAATAAACTGACAAAAACATTTATTTTCCGATCACGGGAAACACAGAAAATCCATCACAAGAGTCTAGATCATTAAGTGCATTCGTACAATTTTCACCAACAACACAAACATTTTTTAAATCATACAGTGTCCAGCAGTAAGTTCTCAAAAAGCAACAACAACAAAAAAACAAAAACAAATAATGAATCAGTTCGTTACTCTGATTTACCTGCGCGGTTGCGCTCAGACTTAGAAAGTTCGCAATGAGTCAAAAACTACAACAAAAGTAATCCCAAAACAGTTCAAAATATAGTAAATATCTAATGGAAACGAAATTTGCTCAAACACCGTTAATGGGAGTCGGTAAGGAGTGTTAGTAATTGTTCTTCTGATGAAAGTGTGGGCGTTTGGTAATTGTAAGTTTATTGAGACCAGTAGCCTCACCGGGAAGGCACGGGAAAGCAAATGTTTCTTTACCTCTAGGTGTCTCAGGTCGTCGAAGTGAAAGAACAACACTCACAGGTCTTTAACTTCATTGTCAGAATCCTCTTTGGCTTTGGTTTCTTTCGGCGCAGTTATCCCCGTCTATTCCGTACATGCGCATCCCTTCCCGTCTTTGCAGTGCAAGAATTCGGATCATCCACATGAACGAGAATCCAACAGGGAATCTTCACGACACGCTGAAACAACGGCCTCGATTTCCTTCAACTTTCTCAGACGCTAATCCCAACTTCCCGACCGGCCTTCCTCCTTCCGTCTCTCTACTTCCTCTTTTCTTTTCCTCCCAATCACCAAACCCCACCTATTTTCATTATTATACTTAGGTTTTCGTTTGTACGAATTTTAATAAATATTATGAAGTTGTGTAGATTTATTTATTTTTTGTGTCATTTAATGTGATTAAATATTATTTGACACTGTAGCATCGCTACAAGGTGCTCTTTAATGAGGATGCGAGGGTTGAATTTGGGGAGCTTGGTGTTCCACACATGCTCCATCACTACAGAACATCACTGATGTCGTTAGAGAATACCCCTATTCCTTTATATTTCTGTGGAGCGTTTGCAAGTATTAGAACTATCAAGGTTGACTTATCTGGGAATTTTCTATTAGGACGGGTATGGGAGGAAACAAGAAGGGTGAGATTTAGCTCATTACAGATATATTTCAGGCAGTCGGAATTAGCAGAGAGCCAGTCCCAGTTCAGATCTCCCATAAGCACAATTTCCCAATCCCGTAAGGAGAAGGAGGCTTATATCCCAGAAGGAGGCTTATAGCAGGCAATAACAGTAAGGAGTGATGTCAAGAGAAAGAAATATCAATAGACAAAAACTAAAATATTTTAGGACTGGAGATAAATTTATTTACTCTGCAATTAAACTTGGTTTTAATGTAAATGGCAAGACCACCGGCCTTACTTTGACGATCCCTACAGAAATAAATGATAACCAGTAAAATGGATAGAAGAATCAGAAACAGATTTCTTCAACCAAGTCTCAGATAAAACCAAAACATCAGGGTCTGAAGGAGACACCCAAACCCTGACTAGGTCCATTTTTGACACAAGACTTCTAACATTCATGTGGAGGAAGCCAAGACCATTTCATTCTTTGAAATCAGATGGGGTAGGTAAATTAATACATGGGGGTGTAGGCCCAGGATTTGGCTTAATGTTACCTGACATCAAAAGAAGTAGAATTATTAAGTAAACTCAAAGCCTTAAATGTTATTCTACAGCACAGGCCTTTCATCAATAGGTCAGACTGTAAATGTAAAATGCCCACATTGAAGTGTCCGCACTCATGAATGAAGAAAAAGTCAATTTTGTCACATTTTCCCATTGGGGAAATTGGTTTAACTACCCTCACCCATTCTCACGTATGATGTCTACAATGACTGATGTTTTGTTTGAGGATGAAGGAGAAATCAAAACCCGTTGGCGGCCATCTTTTTATGTTGATTGAGCATTCATTGAGAGAGTCACCGCTCTGTATTTACTCTGGAGAGCTAGAACAGCGGCATGGGGATCATTGTCGGCATATTTGTGTCCACCGGACCCTTCGGAGCCGAACCGTTTGGCGAGTTTCACCATTTGCTCGCTCCAGGAGCTGTGCTGGATGACGGCCGCTGTCAGCGGTACTTCCGCCTGTCACGCGCCCAGTTTGATGACCTGTTGTACAGCATCGGAGCGAGGATCACCCTCGCCCACATCCATCCAATCTGTCATTTATTTCTGTTTTGATAATAAATAGAGCCAGCCTCCAAAAGTTATTAACCTGTCCTGTGATTTTTTTTTTTCTCTTTCATGTCCATGCACAAACTTATGCACATGTATGTTGGTTGTCTTTACATTATAATAATATTTCATATAATCTAGATATGGACTAGATATGCATATGTATTTCACCACGTGAGCAGGCAGCTACGCTCCTGATTGGTTAATGCGGTGCAAATTGACGGCAAAGTTCAGATTTTTCAACTCGGGCGGCAGGCGCGAATTCGCGTCAAACGTGTGAATGCACAAATAGCACTAACTAAATCATTCACACGTGCCAGACGCTCAATTCGCGCGAACTTGACACCTCATTTGCGCCGCAGGAATTTTTTACGCGCGTAACGTGTATTTACATTGACTTAACATTGAAATCACTCACGCCTGACACGCTATTCGCATCTGGTATGAACGTACCATTAGTAAGAAGAGTTGGAGTGTGTTGATAATTCATCCATGAAATCACACATGATCAACAGCTGTTCTCCTGTTGCTAACAGACTTGAAACAAACTTGACTTAACTGTGAAAGCTATTTGCCATTTCAGGTGTCACTCTATGGGATAAGAAGTCACTGACTGAAGATCTGGACACCCGTCCACAGCCCAGGACAGATGTGAAGTTCAGTAGCTCAGACTCTCTCTCCAGTAAGTCCAGTCTCCTGGATGTAAGTGCTTCCCTGAAGGCCAGCTTCATGGGAGGGCTGGTGGAGGTGGGAGGATCTGCCAAGTTCCTGCGTGACACCAAATCCTCAAACCAACAGTCCAGAGTTACAATGTATTACAGTCAAACCTCTAGATTCGATCAGCTCACTATGACTCAGCTGGGCAAGATCACCTACCCTCAGGTCTTTGACCAGAAAACTGCAACTCATGTGGTCACGGCTGTACTATATGGAGCTCATGCCTTCATGGTTTTTGATCGAACATTTTCAGAAGATGAAGATAAGCAGGAGATTGAGGGAGAACTGAATGTCATGGTCAAGAAAATTCCTCAATTTTCCATTGAGGGAAAAGGAGCTTTACAAATGATAGATGGTCAAAAGAAAGTGGCTGAGGAGACTACCTGCACATTTTATGGTGACGTCCACCTTGATCAGAACCCCACCACTTTCATGGAGGCCCTGGAGGTGTACAAGAAGCTCCCCACTATACTGAAGGAGAATCCACTGAATGCAGTTCCAGTAAAGGTTTGGCTCTATCCTCTTTCTCTACTGGATACAAAAGCTGCTCAGTTGGAGAGAGAAATTAGCACAAGTCTGGTTTCCAACACTGAAGATATAATAGAGGGGCTGGGAGAAGTAGAGAGGACATGCAACGACCTGTCTAGAAAACCATTGGTAAATGTGTTCAATGACATCAAAGAGAGGCTGCATTCGTTTCAGAGCTCATTTAGCATTTACAAAACGGTGCTCCTGAAAGGAGTGGCCAAGGTCTTGCCTGCTATACGAGGAGGAGAGATGGAGCAAAATTCATTGGAAGACATCCTGAAGATCCACTACAGTTCCCCTTTCAAAGCTGACATGCTTAACCAGTGGTTAGATCATGCAACGGCTGAACTTAACCTCTTGAGTTCTCAAACCGAGATACTGAAGGGAATCAATACTGTAGACTCAAACCGTCTCAACACCATCCTCCTTGATCTTAATATTGATATTGTGGTGTGCTTGACCTTCACATCTCTGAAATATGAAGACCCAGATCTCTCAAACCTGAAGAAGTTTCTGGAATCTGACGAGTTTAAAGGGCTAGATGTGGTGAAACTGCAGTCCAGCACTGTAGCATCTGTCAGAAAGTGGTTCAACGATCCTGATGTCATCTCAAAGATGAGAGAGAACTTATCTGTTTTCAGTAGTTTTTCACAGGCTAATAAAGATAAAAGATATCGGTTCATTATTTCTGCCATCTCCGATCCCTCCAGTCCAGGCTCCTCTATCTATCTGTATGAAAAAGGGAAGCTGACAGACAAACAGTTCCAGCCCGTGTCGAAGCCTCCCCCACCAGAAGTGAAGGAGATCCTGGAGGACAGTGTGTCCCTGAAACTGCAGAAGTCCCCAACTGGAGAAACTGTGCAGTTCAGAGTGGAGTACCAGCAGGAGAAAGCAGATTCTGGCGCTGAGGAACAGTGGATCATCATAAACACAGCTGATGAAGACTTTACTCTGACTGGATTGAAGTTTGGAAAGCAGTACTTGATCCACTACAGGATAGTGGGTAAAGTGGGAGTGAGTGAAGCTAGTGACACTATCGGCCCCATAAAGTCTTCAGGTAAGGGTTATATGCACTATAATTAAATGTGTAACATGTTGACGTGTTTGATATGTAACACACATATGAACATTATTTCCTTCATTCATGTTTTTACAGATAGTCCTTAAAGACAGTATATTATGTATTTGATGTCTAATGTAGGCTAGTGTGATTAATCATATGAAATTCACAAACAATACAAAGCCTTAACCTCTTAAGCTTCAACCCCACTTTTGAAAAATCCCAAGAAATGAGATATTCAAACTGAAACAGATACAGTTCATGAACCCTTTGCACTAAAAGCACAAGTACGATCTCATTTGAAGGCTGACACCTGGTAGTTTATTATAAATGTAGAATTAATTATTGTCATAATGAAAAAAAAAATTTGGCCCAAGTTGGCCCTGTAACAATCTAGAAATGCACTGCAGCTAAAGCCATTTGTGTGACCATTTTATATTTAAAATAGGGTTTCAAACCCTGATTTCTATTATCAAAGTGCTAGCTCCACCTTTGAGACTATCAAATGCACTGAAACATTTCAGTAAGCATTCCTATTTAGAAAAAAACTCATAAAAGAATAACTTCTGGTGGCAGGTGCACCTGGGCGAGCTAGCATGTTAGCGCACACCATCAATACACAACAATTTATGAGATTAAAACCATGTTTGTGCTCCAAACTTACTTTATAACGTAAGTCTAGTGTTTTGACCTAATTTGGCTTCAGATAAAAAATATCAGACAGAAAATATATTTATTGTATTGTGCACAATGAAAAAATCTATATCGATTAGCATTACATTATAAATATAATCTATTATTATGAAAATACCTGGCATGGCTTGAAGAACAAAGGTAACTCAAATATCATTTCAATCATGTTTATTGTCTTCAAAACATCTTTACCTGCATGTTACAGCGATCTAGTGATGTTACGTTCGTGAACGAATCGTTCTTTTTGAACGAATCTTTTAGGTGAACGAATCATTCTCGTTATCCATTGACTCATATTTCTCGTTCACTGAAATTCCCCCTTCTACCACTGCGCGCCACTATTGCGCGCATGCGCAGCTCAATGAACCGTGTAGCTCTGTGGCCCGTTTCATCTGTCAAAGACAAAGAGTGACTAAACCTCGAGCCAATAGCCTTCGAGTATGATACGAGGACGGAGCATGTGATTTGTTGAATCTAGTGAACGAATACGCCCTTTATTGAGTTGCTTTGAGTTTGAACGAGTCCAATGAACTGTTACATACATCTCGTTCGTGAATGAAAGAACCAGTTGTTTGAACGTCAAGATAATAATGAAGACGAAGTTAACAGTGCAAGCTGATGGTCTAATTTAATAAAAGACAGCTTAAAATTTTCGTTTTTACTAAAATCTACAAACTACATCAGGTAATCTGCTAACTTCAATATGAGTGGCACCACTAGCACTGGTGTTGTTTTGTGTGCATTTTGTATTATTTATTTTTATTATTGTTGTTTTATGTTTCAACAGTTTTATACTTTAAAAATAAATATATATGTCATGTCATGCACTTTTGTTTGTTTAAACACTGTAAAACATTTAAAAAAATAGAGTATTGAGCAAACAGCTCATTTGCGTCACGTGACTCACGTCAGCTAATAGCATTTCAGCTTGGGCTTAGAAGGGGTATGTAATTGGTTGGATCTACTCTGCTGAATGAGTCTGAACGAGAGAGAGATCTCCCGTTCGTGAACGAATTGAACGAACTGGTTGCTATGCCCAGTTCGTGTACCAGGTCGGCCATTCTGTCAATCTAGTTCAATTCATCAATCAGCAGAAAGTGAATGCAAAGCGCAGGTATCCGTACTGTGCAGGCGCAATTCATAACTTACATACAGAAAATAACTCCTCGTTTAACTCGTTATGACCAAACAAATAAAATGTTAACTATGCCTAGTATGCAAACAGATTAAAACACACTTGTGATTTGGTCATCCGAAAAGAGTGTAATTTAAAAGATAAAAAGAGTGTTGAGACTTTGATCGCTTATTTAGACTTATTTTATCAATTTAATGAGTAGCCTAGGGCACAATTTTTAATAAAGTCAAATCAGTTTTTATTTTGTAACAAGTAAATACGTTGTTAACACATTTTGCCGCACCTGCTGCTGATGTATATGGAAAAAAAAACTGAACGAATCAGTGAACGAGTCTGAACGAATCATTTTGGTGAACGAACTAAAAATGAACGAGTCTCTGAAAAGAATCAAAATTTCCACCACTACAGCGATCTCTGTTAGCTGTGTTTGTCAGGCAGTTCATGAGGCAATTCCTGGAATGTCACATGTTTATGGCTCTTCTTCATATTCCATATATGGAATATTATGTGGAAAGAGCGCCCTCAGGCTATTGGTATGAATTGAAAACACAGCACATCTCAGGAAGAAGCGCTCATAATGATTACATCAACACATTTTATTATAAATTCAATAAATATTATTCCTGTCTACAGATATATGATGTGAATCTATGAGAATCTATCAATATTTCTCCAAGTCTGCATATTTTTGAGCTAAAGCCCTGAGGGACGTTGTTTTGTGAATCGCTGTCATGACGACAGCACAGAGTTTTCTTTCTGGATGGTTTTATACATTTGTAGACTTTATAGTTAGACATTAGTAGGCTATAAGTAAAATGAACAATTGTAATTAATTATCTCTTATGGCCTGTTAGCTGAGGCATTCATAGAACAAACAAAACAAACCCTGACAATTGATGAAATAACAGACACTTGATAATCTGATTAGATCATTAAATAATTGCATTTAATTTAGCAAAAACTTCCACAAGATTTGTAAAAGGTGTTTTTATGCATTGTTGGCCAGGGATTTTTTTTTTTTGTTGCATTTACACTGTATGGCACAGCATGCAATTGGGATCAGGTTTAAGCTTTAAGTTACTATATACTGTATTTGTATTAAAACTTATATTTAAGCTACCATAGAGTTGTTCCCTGAGTCTCACATCATACTTTCTGTGTAAAATTCCAAGGGATTTACCGAAACCACATATTGGTTACATATATTCTGTGTAAAATCCCATCCAACCCAGAGGATTTACACATATCGAAGCACCGCCTTTAGATCATGCACTTTCATGATTCAACTCAAATGTGGCTTCTGTGTGTTCACATAAATGAACATAATAAGCAGTAGAATTATAATATAGGCTAATGAAATGATTGAGCATGAGACATTTATTGGTCCCTTTGAAAAAGACTAATAAAGAGATTGAGGTTTAATCCAAGTCTTATGAAGAGGTGTTATTACTTTGTATTATGAAGAAAGTGAAATTATATTCCTAGTGTCTTTCAGATCAAATCTGTGATCAGTTCATGTCTACAGAAGCCAAATCAAATATGGTGACATGTCAATAATATCGAACCCTCAATAGGGTTGTGTCAGGATTTGGGCTCTGTAAACAGCAGAGACATCTCTAAAGATCTTCTGTGTTGGAGGATTTCTGCATGTGTTAGATCATTTTCTCTTGACATTATAATCACACTCTTCATGTCTGTTGATTTCCACAGCCACTGTTCCCAAGACCAGGAGCGAGTTCCTTCAATGTGAGTCAGAAAACAAGCCGAGAAACTCTGAGTGTGTTCATGTTCTTCCTGTAGAAGCTGAGAGAAAACATGACAGAAGAGTTTTAGAGTTGATCATGTACATGATGATTAAACTGTACTGAGATATGCTGATATAATGAACATGAAGAGTTACGATACATTATAAAATCTGATGTGTTTTCTCTCCATCAGATTCCCAACAGTTCACTTTGGATCCGAACACAGTCAATAAACGCCTCCGTCTGTCAGAGGACAACAGAGTGATTACTAACATTAACATTAACCCTGACACAGATCAGCCGTATCCTGATCATCCAGACAGATTTGATCATTATCCTCAGGTGTTGTGTAGAGAGAGTGTGTGTGGACGCTGTTACTGGGAGATTGAGTGGAGAGGAATGGTGTGGATATCAGTGTCATATAAGAGCATCAGCAGGAAGGGAGAGGGTAAAGAGTGTGTGTTTGGATGTAATGATCAGTCCTGGAGTTTGCTCTGCACTCCTGACAGATGTACACTCTGCCACAATAACATAGAGACTAAACTCCCTGTAAAGTCCATCAGCAGTAGAACAGGAGTGTATGTGGATCCCAGTGCAGGAACTCTGTCCTTCTACAGCGTCGACAGAGACACAATGATCCTCATACACACAGTCCAGACCACATTCACTCAGCCGCTCTATCCGGGGTTTTGGGTTTGGTTTGGATCAGTGAAACTGTTGTTGAATGAGAATGGAGTGTAGAGATATTCTACCCATAATACTTTGGGCTGCATGATAAATCAGTAACATTGAGATGTTCTTGCGTCTCTTATTTTCTCTTCATTACATTAATAACACAGCTGAACTATCACTGAAATATCATGCCAGAATAAATGTGTGTAATGAATCCTCATATAGACATCAGTGTGTGTGACGGTGTGTGCTTTTCTCAAGCTCTGTTTGTGTTGATGAATCTCAGTCATTTAGTTTTATTATAGAGTCATATCAATCATTCATAATTCATGTAGAAGTGGGATGTGTGTAACGTATTTTAATCCAGGTGTATTTTAGGGGTTCAAGCACTGAAGCTGCAGCAACATTATTATATTTGCACTGTTTTATCAGTTATTATTTTTCTGCTCTAAACATGTCTGGGCGTCAGAGACCGTAAGTCATGAAGATCTCAAGCTTGGAAATAAAAGAAACTTCTCCTTTTGATCCAATTCACTTGAAACTCTGATACATCAAAACAATGAAGATATTAAATTATAATTTGCCCTGTATCTGCTGAACGTCACGATCAAACCCACCGGATCCTGAGATTCATCTTCTCTGGGTCAAATAATAATATATTCTTCAAATATCACTCACACAACTCAACAAACATGGCCGCAATAGCGAATGTTTGCTGACTTTTAAAACACGCCTTAAGACATATCTTTTTATACAGGCTTTTTTATAACATTTTTTAGTGTGATTTAACTGTACTTTATATGTATGCTGTGTGATTGTTATGTGTTTTGATTTGTGTAGTGACCTGTATATTTCTTGTGAGGTGACCTTGGGTGTTCTGAAAGGCACCTTGAAATAAAATGCATTATTATTATTATTATTATATTATACAGACACCTGATTTTTATATTATTAGATGATTAGTTCATTACATTTAATGGATTATACGATCATGAAAAAGCTTGCAATGTGTTTGTAAAAGGTGTTTTAATGCATGTTTGGCCAGAGTTTCCACTGTTCTGACCAGCACGAGTCACCAGCGTGTGGAGATTAGAACAATTCCAATGTTTTGATTGAATATTTTTCAAACTATTGTCATAGAGCATTTATAGAACAACAACGAAAAAACATCAATAATACATAAAACTATAATAATAATAATACAATTCTTTGAAAATTAAAGCTGCTCTATGTATTTTTAGTGGCCTCTATCTGTGATGTTTCAGATTGCAACCCATTTCTACAAGAGCGCTCGTGCTGGAACACAAGAGCAAACACTCACGGCACACACCACACTGAGACTTTACACACACCGGAGAAAGCATCACACAACATGCTGGAAACTCGTGTAAACGCTACAGTAATAGGCAACTGTTATCCACTGGACTGAACTAATGCTCCTGCTCCATGCTCGTACCATGATCACGCTACATGTGTGCCGTTATCTAGCATAAGGCACTTTACTAACTATTGGTGTATCTTTCACAATCAGCAATGTCAGCATCGGTGAATGTATAAAATGATAACCAAAACGGTCAGTGAACTAGACTGAACAATTCCAGTGTAACGGTAAGATCGTAGGAAGTAACATTACTGCATTATACTATTATAAACAATATGATATAGTGGGATGAGTGACGTTAGTAGATCTAGAACATAAAATAGAAGTTACTAAGCTCCTGGAACAGCCTTTTGTGTTCATTTCATTTCTCATGTATGTTGTAGTTTAAATTGCTATTTCATTACAGTTTACCATTATTTCAGCATATCTGAAAACTTCTATATATCACAATAATAATAGCGGAGGTCGCTCCATAATTCAAACGCTCTGCTGATGTCGATCCGTGTTTTCGTCCGAAGTCGATGCGATTCACGTTTGGCCTGACGAGCTTCTTCGTCTCGTTTATACAGGCTTTATATTCTTCTTTACTTTCAAAGCTATGGGTTAACTTTCGTCCAGCCGATCTAGGCGTTTTAAAACAAACATGAAAACCCAAAGAGCCTAAAAATCAATCCTAATAATAATAGGCTGTATATATGGAGGCATATAGGTTTATTTTAGTTTTGTTACATTATTTAGACTATTTTCAAATGCGTCAAGTGTATAAATAAAAACATAAGAAAACACAATCTATTGAGTCAGCATAATAAAGCTGTTAAAGGGCCTGATCACGTATCACTTCTCTTGCGCGCTCAAGTTCGTTATTTCAAATGTAGGTGTGCGCGCTCGTAATGGAAGCAACACGGCGTGGTGAAACGCGCTCTTTTTTTCCAAGTGCGTCAACGCCGCATCGAGATAAAAACATCTCAACATTTCAGAATGCCACAAGCACACTGTAGGTCACGTGATAAGAACCAACTGGAACGCAACCGCCCTAGTACTTGCACACTGCGTCTCTGTAACAGGGTTAAAAAGAACCTTTGAAATCAAGTATTGTGTGAATTTCATAAAATAAGGCATTTGGCTGTATTTATTGGTGTTAGAAGGCTCCCCTCCTGTGGCTATTAATGGTACTGCAGATATTCGATTTTGTCACTCTTCTCTTGCCGTACTTCAGCAGATTCAAGCGTCGACGCTGTGGGTATGTATGGTTTTTCATGCTCTGACGCATTAACAAATTAATTGTGAAAATGATGTGTTTCAAGTGAATCTTTTTGACTTAATACATTTCATACATATATGTGAACATATGGATAATGCATTTTGCACTTTAACACGGTTGTTGAGAGTTTTATAAGATGTATTGAATTTACATGTGCATCACATGTGCGAGCACGGATTCATTTCTCGTGACTATTGCGTCTGTTTGACTTTTTTTTGTATTATGAATGGAGTGAATGTGTAATCTTTGTTTCTAGTCCATATGAATGTCTGCAGTCTGTCATCAGCCACAATGTAAATTTTCTTTCTTGTTGTTTCCAAAAAAAGGTATGTTGCTTTCATGTTGATTCTCTTAACAAGTGTTATTTGACAATTAATGAAGATTTACTGATGTTGTCTGCAATTAACTATTCTGTACATTTACATTGGTGTACTTATTATGAGTATTATGTTAAGTTTTTCACATTGTATATCAATACTGTGTTTAATGTGACTAATACGACAATTCACCATGACGTCACAACAATAACAGACGTTTTTCCGGGTGGCAAAAGCCGAAGCGTCCCTATGGCAACACTAGTAAATTGCTTGGAGGGAGACACACCGTCGGCAGAAGCCTAATCTACATTTCAACAGTTGATTCAAGAACAGACGTGGTGGAAATTCAGACATAGTTAACATGATCATTAGAGCTTATTCTTTGATCTAGAGACGTGCACTCCCAACGCACTAGACCGCGGCGCGGGACTAGATCTGATGGCCGAGTGCGGGCGGTAATGCACTCTGTGTGTGCGGATTGCAGGAGAATAAAACGATTCGCGGGACTCCCGCAAACTAGAAATATCTATGAATAAAACAAATAAAAACTAATACATTTGTATTCATCAGTTGCAGAAAAGCAACAAGAACAACTTAAACAAAATAGAAATGATTTACATGGCAGAGTTTCTTTTTACTGCAGCTATGAGCGATGTAGCCAATCACAGACATATATGTTGATTTATTGAACGCAATGGCCAATCAGAAGCATTTACGATGAAGAAGCATTTACGATGAAGAAGCATTTACTCACCGCTCAAAAGAAAGTAACATATAAAGTAATAGAAATTAACTAAGTTAGTTGAGAACGTCAGTTATATAACGACCCACGTATTAAAAATGGTTGGGTTTAAATCGGGCTCCGGCTCATAATTAGAAGACAACATGCACTTTTGACGACGTCCACTCGCTTTAACCTCCTCACCCACAGGTTCTGCTGGATAGATTTACTTTTTTCTGAAGGAAATCGATAAAAAAAACTACACCTTTTGCCAGCGCAACCCCAAACACAACATATTTTCGCCATAGATTCAACTTTGATCAACAACAATGATTTTAACTGTGTAACTGTTCAGTTGCCGGCTGGATCTCTTCAGTTAGTCAATGGAAGCCGCTCGCGTTCTGCCACCCGGAAGTATCGCGGTGCCTATTGTTTACAAACATTCTGAAATGCCCTATATGAGTTACAAGCAGATTCAAGTGTCGACGCTGTGGTTCATATGAATGTCTGCAGTCTGTCATCAGCCACAATGTAAATTGTCTTGTTGTTTCCAAAAAAAGATAAATTGAAGCTGAACCCCATTTGTGAGTGTCCTTCCACATCCATTACATTGGTGCCGTGACCCAGATGAGAGTGAGGTTTAGGGGGGTGAGTGTAACGGAGGCCAGCTGGTAGTTGCTGTGCAGGTAAACCTCACTCCTCTGATCTCAATAGGTGCTCTAGCGACAGACGCTAGAGGTTGCACTCTTTAGCCTCCTTGTTAGAGCGCCCGACTCTCACGCCGGAGACCCGGGTTCGAGGCGGGACCCGGGTGGTTACATCTCCATGAAAATGAGGGTTCCACGTTGAAAGCAAGTTCGCGAAAGGTTGGTATCTCGTGAACATCTTTACACAATCACACATTAAAAAGTGCTGAAAAAATATTTTAAATTCTTAATACAATTCAGTCAGTGTGTTAATGTCGACCCGAGAAGCGATTGAGCCTTCTTTAGAAAGTTAACTAGTCACAAATTTGAGGTAAAATGCATTTGGGTTGTCGATGTCAAAACACTGTAAGCTGTATCTCAATATTAATATATTGGAATATGGGATTTGTATTGGGTGGGAATTTTATATAGAAGTGTAGATTTTTGGTACGGCGTGTGGATTTTGTAAGGTAAAGGAATTTTACATTCAGGCTTCTAAATTAAATGTTTTGATCACCAGCCAATGAAAATCAGAATTTCCACTAGCCAAATTTTTTTCTGGTGAAAATAAGAGAAATTATGAGTGCCACTGAATGCATTTGATCATTTTATTAACATATTTGGCATGAAAAACACAAAGTACAATACAAAACAGAACGTGCAAACATTAAATTTCAAGTTTAGAATCTATCTATCAATTAGGGATGTCCACGAATATTCGAATCTTCGATCTGCAATTATTATGCGAAAAATAAAATACTATTCAAATTTAACTTTATTTAAATTATCTATGCGTGTTATCTTTACGCATTTTGAGCTATCCGCGTGTATATGTCTACGTCGTTAAACGTCCGAGTGATTCCGCGTGTATGTACACACCGTTAAATGTCAGAGCGAAACGAAGCAAAATGTAGATCTACATCTGGGGAGCGATATTTTTTTCTTCCTAGGATGGTCGGTCGAGACTCATGAATGGTACCCCAGTGACGGGTGGGTTTAGGGACGGGTTGGGGTAGGTCATATATTTATATAAACAGTAATGTAACGTTAAGTCAACGGCGTATATAAAGAAATGGAATGTTAGAATGCCAGAAATGGAAATAGGAATTGGCGTGTCATACATACGCCATTTCATGAGATCAGTCAGACCACAATGAGAAATCACATGAAATCCAAAAAAAAAACAGCAGTTGACTGAGGAAGCAGCTGTCCATCACTGCATTAACCACTGCAGCTGAACCCTGAGGGAATCGCAATCCGAGATTATATTGCTGGTAGCAAAATGATTGAGACATATGCTTCCTTTAAGTTTCGTTGAGGGAGACATTTTTAAGAACAGAAAACGCACACGCGCGCACGTCTCCGCAATGTCTGTGTCAGCGCAGTGCGTTTTTTTCACTTGCGCATGTGGATATTATTGTTTTTCTCAACATGAACGTGAACCAATATTAAGGTTCACGTTCGGTAATCTGCATGATCTAATCATATGCTCACTCGAGTGCATGTACGTTCTGTACGATAACTGCGCAGTCTGTTTTATTAGCTTTTTTTTCT